AAAATGACAATTCTACCTAATTTATTTATTCAGTGCCATACAAATCAAACTACCAATGAATTATTTTATAGAGTTAGCAAAAAAAAATTGTAACAAAATTGATCTGGAGTAGCAAAAGGTCAAGAATATCAAGGGAAACAATGAAAAAAATGTTAAGGAAGGCAAACTTATAGTTCCAGATTTCAAACAATATTACAAAGTGGTAATCATCAAAACAATCTGCTACTAGTTAAGAAACAGAGTGGTGAATCAGTTGAATAGATTAAATACACAATACACAATTAAATGACAATAGTAATCTAGAGTTTGATAAACCCAAAGATCCAAGCTTTTAGGTTAAGAACTCAATATTTGACAAAAATTGCTGGGACAACTAGCAAGCAGTTTGGAAGAACAATATCTCACACTGTATGTCAAGATAAATCAAAATAGATAAATGATTTAGACAGAAAGGATGATATCATAAGTAAATTAGGGAAGCATTGAAAAAATGTATGTGTCAGGAAGAGTTTGACCAAATAAGAGATAAAGGGGATTACAGGAAGTGAAATAGATAACTTTGATTACATGAAACTAAAAGGCCTTTGCACAAACAAAACCAATGCAGCCAAAATTAAAAGGAAAGCAGAAAGCTGGGGGGAAATTTTGCAGCAAGTTTCTCTGACAAAGGCCTCATTTCTCCAAAATATAGAAAATTGAGCCAAATTTATAAAAAAAAAAATAAGAGCCATTCTCCAGTTGATAAATGGTTAAAGGACATGAACAGTCAGTTTTCAGAAGAAATCAAAGCTATATATAGTCATAAGAAAAAACTACTGATTAGAGAAATGCAAATTAAAACAACTCTGAGATACCACCTCACACTTATCAGACTGGCAAACATGAAAGAAAAGGAATATAACAAATACTGGTGGGGATGTAAAAAAATTGGAACACTAATGCACTGTTGGTAGAGTTGTGAACTGGTTCAACCATTCTGGAGAACAATTTTGGAATTATGTCTAAAGGGCTATAAAAGTGTGCATATAATTTTGATACTTTTGACTTTGTGCATATACTGTGCATATACTGTGATCCAGCAATACCACTACCAGGTCTGTATTCCAAAGAGATTAAAGAAAAAGGAAAAGGTTCTATGTGTACAAAAATATCTATAGCAGCTTTTTTTTATGGTGGCAAAATTGGAAAATGAAGGGATGCCCATCAATTGGAAAATGGCTGAACAAGTTGTGGTATACGATTGTGATGGAATACTATAAGAAATGTGAGCTATATGTGCTACAAGAAATGAAGAGCAGGATGGAAAAACCTGGGAAGATTTATACGAACTGATGAAAAGTGAAGCGAACAGAACCAGAAGAACACCTTAAACAATAATGACAATATCATAAGAATGATCAACTTTTCAAGACGTGGCTATTCTGATCAAGAAAATGATCTAAGACATTTCCAAAGGATACATGATGAAAAATGGTCTCCACTTCCAGAGAGAAAACTGATGAACTCTGAATGCAGATTCAAGCATACTTTTTTCAACTTTATTTTTATTGTTTTGTTTGTTTTCTTTTGCAACATAGCTAATATGGAAAGTATGTTTTGCGTGACTTCATATGTATAATTGAAATCGAAGTGCTTGCCTTCTCAAGAGGGTGGCATGGAACGGAGGAAGAGAATTTGGAACTCAAAATTTTAACAAATGATTTTTAAAACATTTTTATATGAAATTGGGAAATATTTAAAGAAATAAAAAATCATGAAAATAAAATGATGGTGTTGGACTAATCCCTAAGGTGCATTCTAGTTCTAAATTCTATTATGCTATGATCCTGCGATTTGGTAACTGGTTAGATGTGGGAAGTGAAGGCTAGTTCTTCAACTATGGTCAATTCAAGGTCAAGCCTAAACTTTTTTTTTATCAGAAATGAATTGATGTACTATGAGTTGATAACAGCAACACTACTATGCTTCTCTAAATGCTATCTTAAAAGCTCTTCAATTATGTTACAGACAAAATCTTGGCTTAAGTTTCTGTATCTGTGCAATGAAGGGTTTAGCTCTTTCCAGCCCTAAAATACTGTGATGCTATGAAAATCCTTTCCCTAGGTAGACTCTTTTCTTTTGTGTTAAATGGTGTTTGGGAAAAGGGAAAGAGAATGTAATTAGAATTTCCTACTACTCACTTACAGCATACAATATAACATATAAACATGTACTGATTTTTAGATATTTTCTTTCAAATCTAGTTTAAAATGAATAGTTATGTCATTGTTGTCATCTTTTCTCCTACCCCATTACCCTTTCTGTAACAAATAAGGACCTCATTTACCTAACTACTTTTAGATAATGCTGCTGAACCTTTCCATGTGGTATCCTTCAAATTTAACATATCTGAAACCAAGTTAATCGTCTCCCACCCACCCCTAACTGACCTCCTTTATTCTCAGCTTCGCTATTTCAGTCAATCACCTAGGCTCAAAACTTGAGGGATTAGAAAGAGTATTTGACTAGAAGACAGGAGATTTTGGTTTGGGGTCTAGCTATGTTGCTAGCTGCATGCACCTGGGGCAAATCATTGTACCTTTTAGTCTCAGTTTCATCATCTGTAAAAACGAGAGTGGGATGAGATAATCTCTAAGTTCCCTTCCAGGTCAAAATTCTATGACCATGTAAAATAATCTTTGACTTGTCTCTCAAACCCAACCTCTATAATCAAACCCTTGTAGGTCCATTCTTCCTTTACCGTGTTTCTCAAATCTTTCCTGCACTTTCCCAAGGCCAGCACTTTACTTCAATTATCACTTCAAGCTTGGCCTATGGAAGTGGATTCCTTAACTGGTTTCTCTACTTCTGGTGTCATCTACTTCCAGTCTCTGCAGATATTTTAGATCTACCTAGAGTTTAACCCTGCTGCCCTGATTTTCCCTAAAGCACCTCTTTCCCTATGTCATCTTCCCTGCTCAAAACCCTGCCACATCAAGCACCACACCAGTCTGATCCTCAAGGTCTTCCACAATCTGGCCCCATCCTAGTCTTTTTTTTTCCTAACTACTTATCTACATGAACCTTCTACTTCAGAACTGGGAAGAATCACTATTACCTGAACAGGCACTGTGTTTTCCTACCCTAGTTCCTATTTTTGTCTACGCCATCTCCCAATCTTGAACGACCTCCTTTCTTTTTTTCCTATTAAAATCCTAGTTACATGTTTTAAGATCCAGCTTAAATCTCTGCTTCCTTCCCAGACTGTTCCAATCACAAATAATTTCTTTCCTCTATTGCCTATACAACATACTTGGTACTTCCCAATCTGTGTACACATAGCGATATTTCTGTGTTTAAAACAGTCAGATGAGTCAGCCAAATTTCAAATTCTTGCCCCTTTTCTCAAAGCCTCTCTCAAAGGGTTTCTGTTCTGCTGATGTTTCTGATGTTCTTCAGATCTCCATTCATCACCACCCTTTCCCTCCCTTCCACCCCCTTATTAAATGATCATCGGGCCTGCATATCAAATACTGGCTGCTTCTTTGCAGAGATACCAAGAAGATGTGACCAAAATTGTAGACCAAGAGAAGAGCTTTTCTGCCCCAGAAACAATGCTGGAATAGCAAGTAGGCTGTATTCCCAGTAGGACTCTCCACCTGTCTCCTAGTAGGCAGAGTTAGCAAACCCAAGGGCACCAGTCTGCTGCTCTCAGCATGATACCCTTGTCTATCAGTAATAACTGATGGGCAACAGGAACTGACCAAAGATGACTGGAAGACTGTCAGAATACATGGACGGTTGTATTGCTCAGACAATCAGTCATAAAGGCAAAATTGTTGTAGCTACCAGCAACCTGGAAACTGTAAATTCTGAACCCTGATCATTTTCATAAATATCATCAATAATTAAAATATACTTAGGGCAGCAAATAAAGCAAAAGAGGACAAATAGATCCAGGGCTGAACTAAATTTGGCCCAGTTGAAAAAGCATCTGGCTCAAGGCAAGCAATGATTTTTAATAAAAATGGAAAGCATGGCCCATAGCATTGGTCCTGAACTATATCTTTATTCTCCAAGAATTCCTGATCACAGATGTCTCATGCCTAGGACTTTGGAAAGGGTAGGAAAACCTGGTGAAAATCTGCAGCCAGGCAAATACTTTGTCAGACAGATAAAATGATTTGAAGCTTTCTGCAAAGTTGACCTAGATTGTGTTGGGTCCTGTATGCTACACAAAAATAGAAAGGCTTGTTCTGAATGCCTTTCACTGTGAGAACCTTAAGTGCCAAACCTTAGTTCAGTCAGTTATTTTAACTAAGAATTAACCAAGGAAAGATACCAAGATTCACCTAGAACTTGACCTAAATTCTAATATTATTGCTTACTCTCTATAATGCCCAGTTTCTTGAACGAATTTCTTTTCTTGTGCTACATTCCCTTAATAATCTTGCTAATGCTTATTATTCTTTCCTTATTATTAAATAACTAATGAATGCCATTCCATATTTATGATTCTTAAAATATGTCTATATATAAAGTATCAATGTACCTACTATTTTATAGTATATATACAGTATGAAGTATTAACATCTGGTGTTTTATAGTATATATAGTATAGATGAAGCATATATGGTATTTTATAGTATCATATATAATATGGATGAAGTATTAACATAGGTGGCATTTTGGAATATTATATATAGTATATATGAAGTATTAACTTACATGGCATTTCAGAGTATTATATACAGTATAGAAGAAGTATTTTCACTTTCTTTGTATTCAGTGACTTAGAAGATTAAAATAATCACAAGTTTGAAATGGACTCGGATATTCGAGTGCTTGCCTCTAGTTTCACAGCCAGGAACCATCAGGGCTATGCTTTTGAATTCAGATCTCATGACTCTCTCGGGGCTCTCTACCACTACACCACACTACCGAGAAACAGGCAAATGATTTAGTGAAACCGGCCTCGGAAGGCGCCTCTCATTTTTCTAGTAGCTCAGGGAGGAGCCAGATTATTGCCGCGGGGAAGAATGCTGGACTTCAGCGAGTGGAGGCTTCCCAGGATTAGGAGCCCTTAGTGGGGCATCCCAGTCCAAGCCGGCGGCCGCCGCATCTCCCTGGGACAGAGAGTGCGAGACCAAAAGAGGGGGCAGCGCCCCGGCCGAGCCGAACAGGTTAAAGCAGCTCCCCCTCTCCTGCTCTCCACGCCTCCCAGGTTTTCCCCCTTGGCTCAGGGTTTCCTGTTTCAGTTCTTGGTGATCTCCACCAGCAGCAGGTGCTGGTTTGCCAACTCTCCCGCTTTGAGGACAAGGAAAGGAGAGAAGGGGAAGAGGAGGAAACAGCGGCGGCGGCTGCTGCGGGGAGAGAGAGAGAAAGAGAGAGGAGGGGGAGGAAGGGAGAGCAGCGGGGAAGAAACCCCCGCCCTGCTCCGCGCGCCCGGGAGCAAGGGGCCGGAGAGGGGTGCGGGCGGACCCCCGGGGACTCCGCTGGGAGCAGAGCGGGGCGGCGGCGGCGGCCGGACGAGCCGGGGAGGATGTGAGGGACAGGCGCCGGCCGAGCGGAGCGGAGCCCAGCGCAGCGGCGCGGAGGCCGAGCGGCGGCAGAGGCAGGGCGCGGGCACAGCGGCGGCGGCAGGACGAGCCGGGCCGGACGGACGTGTTGTCGGGCTGCAAGTAGGTTGAGCCTCCGATCCTTGTGCGTCTGTGTGTGTGTGTGTGTGTGTGTGTGTGTGTGTATACGTGTGTGCGTGTTGGTGTGTGCGTTTGTAAAAGCCGCCGGTCTCGGCCGTTCCCGCCGAGCTCAGTCCTTCCCTCAGGGAAGGGGCCGCGAGCCGGGCTGGGCGGGGCCGCTCGCTGGGAGGCCGGGGCGGGCGTGCGTGCCGCGAGCACGCGGGAGCTGGGGCCGGGCCGGAGCCGAGCGGGAGCAGGAGCGGGAGCCGAAGCGGGGGCGCGCCCGGGGCTTCCCCGGAGAAGGAAGCGGCTGCCGGCCCGGGTCGCCGGCCACCGCCGCCGCCGCTCTCTTCCAGGCCCGGGAGGGTCAGGGCTCCCCGGAGGTCGAGTTGGTGAGAGCCCGAGACGAGAGGCCGCGGCCCCGGGGCTGAGCGGAAAGCCCAGCTGACCCGGTTCTCGGGTCCCCCCGCCCCCCAGCAGCCGCGGAGACCCCGAGGAAGGTGAGACGCGGCCAGCTCCATCCCGGGGAGGGGCGGCCAACATGGAGGCGGCCGGAGCCCGGCCCCATGTCCGAGGGGCCGAGAACGGACAGACAGCTGGCGGAGACCTCCCCATCTCTCCCGCTGCCCCACGCCCCCGCCTCCTCTCCCGGGCAGCTGCGGGAGGGACCACACCCGCTGACCCCCGGCCCGCCGCCCGAACTGCCCATCCCTAAACGGTCGCCGGCTCCAGCTCGGCCAGCCCTGCCGTGCCCTGACCCCATCCTTCCTTCCCCCAAAACAGTCAGCGTGGCCGCTCTGCCCCAAGCCCCCGAGAGAGGTCCGGGGGCTGCGACCCCGGACACCAGCCTCCTAGCCCCTTTAAAAGTCCCGCCCACAGCCTTTCCCCACCTCCCCGGGGGTGATTTTAACTTGGGTTTCTTCACCTTGGGACAGACCAGCATTCCGGGAATCTGGGGTCGGGGCAGCTCTAATCTGGGTTCCGGGGCCGCGTTGTGGCATTTGGGGGGGGAGCCCCTACCCCAACTCTGCAAGTGTCTCGCCTCAGATTGACATCTGGCCATAAAAAGGACAGGGGCTCAAGGACCTTGGATTTGGAAATCTGTGAAAGTTGCCCTGTGTTGTCTTTCTCTAGCTAGTGCTGTGGGACATTCACCTGTTCTGTGCGTTTTCATCCAGTGTCTTCTGTTAATGACAAATACAACATCAAAGGGAAGAAACGTTTCTAAGATTTTTGAGCAAGGCTTGAAAATTGTTGAGGCAGTAAAATATCCAAAATGTTAGGAAGGTAGTCAAGGCAGGATTTCCATTTACATCTTTGGACTATGTATAATTCACCTCTTTCTTAACTCCTATTCTTGGCAAGTAAATACTGCATGTTGTTTTCTGAAATTAGAATGGGGAGAAAATCTCAGCCAAGATTAGGAAAGCTATAGTTTTACAAGAGACATAGTAATGTTTAGAAAAATGCGTGCTGTGGGACTAGCTTTAGGGTTTTGTCCTCTTTTCTCTTGTCTGTGTTTAGAGGGAGAATTAATTTGGTGTTATCAGCACCTGTATAATTGTGAAAATTATTTTTCAGATGAGACTGAAGAAACTTCCTTTGATGTGTTTGTCATGTATATATCAAAGATAATTTTTATTCTTTGAAAATAATTTTAAAATCAGACTAGACCAGCTCTAGGTGCTTTTAGCATCTGGTAAACCACAAAGGGTATTTAAATACCATTAATAAAATAATGCCAAGCTCCTTGTCTTGTTTTCATGTTTTTGTTATCCAGGGCTTAGTTATACCATTACATGCTAATGAAAATGATTTAGACTAGGAAAAGAGAAAAATTTGTGGCATTTCTATTATTTATTAACTTTTTGCTTAGAAGTGTATCCAGATTTTAAAATGTCCAGATTAATTAGATAGTTGGCTTCTTTAAAGGTAGATAATTCATGGGGAAAAAAATACCAAATTTGATACAAAAATAATTGGTTAATAGAAAATAGATATCTAAGGTCTTCTTCTCAGCTTGGTTACCTTATCTTCATTCCAATGGACTACAATGATTTTCATACTCATTTTGGTTCCATAAATACTTCCTTTAAAACTCTTCTCTATTTTAATTCTTCATTTGGTTTTGTACTCATACATTCAAGAGACTACTATACCATCCTGATATTAATTTTTTGAGAGAATATTCCTCTAGGATCAAATTGAGCATAAAGGAATGATTATTCAGGATTTTTTCCCTCTCTGGAAATCCTTATTCTTTTGCAAAGGTATAGAATATGAGAGTATTGAGTTTGCTATCATTATTTGAATAAATTCTACTACTACTTCTAACTTATTCATTTATTATATATTTTTAGACCACCTATTATTTCTAAAGGACTGTGCAAGTTATAGCGTGGGACTCAGAGATTCATAGGACATAGTCCCGGTTCTCAGGTAGCTCATAATCTAATCAAAAGGAAGGAAGAATATACAGATTGAGTACACAACCATAAGGGGTCAGTGAGCTCCTGCCATACTTCTTTGTCTTCTTCCATCTTCCTCCCTCCCAAAGTTGAGGTCCTTCCTTGCTTTCCCCAGTAGGAAGACTTACTTCACTCCTTGATCCCCTCCCATATCCTCTAGGACCTTGTTCGTTCCTTCTTTTCTTTTTCATATTGAAATCTTTCTGCATTACTGGCTCTCCTTCCGTTCACACTTATGTTCAGATCTCCCATGATCCTTCCCATTTACCTTTCACTACCAGCATTCTAGAAAGAGTAGTCCATATTTTCTGCCTCTGCTATCTGACTACCCACTGACTCTTCAACCTGTTGGACTTTTACTTTCATTCCCACCTCACTACTGCAACTTTTCTCAGAAGTCCAGTTGACCTCTTAATTGCCAAATCACAAGGTCTTTTCTTCTTCTTTAACTTTTCTGCCGCCTTTGCTTATATTGATAACCTTCTCTTTGCTGTCTCCCAAGACTTTGGCTTCTTGACCTTCTTCTCTCTCTCAGCATTCCTTCTTATTCTTTGTCTTCCCTCTCTGGCTCCCAAAATATGGGCATCCTTCAGAACATTTTCTTTGACCCTCTTCTCTGTCTAAATATATTCTCTCCCTCAATCTCATTCATTCCCATGGCTTCAGTGATCATTTCTTTGCAGATGATTCAGATCTCTATTTCCAGCCATTATTTCATCCCTGTGTTCCAGTTCCTTATTGTTAAATGTTGGATGGAAAGAGGCAAAGAAATAGGAATATAGATGGAACATGTTCATGGAATGATGTGCTATTTGGGTTAACTGGATGAAAGATACATATGTGGGAGTAGTAAAACATAAAGCTGGTAAGCAGTAGTCTGGTATAAAGTTATTAATAATTGGAAAAATACAAGTGGGCCTACATGACATTGCCCCAGCTAGTGTCATTTTGCAGTAATGTCATAAATATTCCTTATAGCAAAACCTCACTGTAAAGTACTTTGGCTAGCTGTTCCACATAAGAGGTTATTTCTGGAAAACTATGCAATAGGTTGGGCAATGAGTATGTTTATACTCAATGGCATAAAGAAAGAGTGCTGGGCTTGGACTGGGCATCTAAAGACCTGAACTAAAGCCCTTACAGAGTTCATAGCACTTTAGACAAGGAATTCATCTTTCTGGGCCTCTTTTTCCTCATCTGTAAAAACAAAGAAGTTGGAGTAGAAGTTTTCTTAAGTTCCAACATAGAAATTACCTGGTGAGCCAGAAGTATACCTAAAAAAGCCTTAATGTTCAGAAAAGAAACAGAGTTTATAAACTTAAGATTGTAAACCCCCAAAACTCAGAGGTAGTTCTAGGAGTCTGGATTTTTAAAAAAGACTTCTTTTTTTGATGTGTTTTGGGGGGGGAGAGGAATGACCAAAGGATTTCTAATAGTATTTCATTTCTTGTGTCTCAGGCTTTAGTGGCACCAGAATTTGAACGATCACAAAATTTGTCACTACTAACAGGGAAAATTATGTATATTTAGTAATGCATTTTTTTTCTCCTAACCTCCACTGCATCCCATGACACGTATTTTCTCAGTAATTTGTAATAATGTTGCCAAGTATCTAGCCTCCTACTTCCAGAGTGGATTCTGGGCATAAAAATGCACTTTCCAATGGTTGGCAGAGTAAGCAAGAGGAGGAAATAACGTTCCTAACACCTGGGAATAATACATATCAGACAATTTCTTATTAAAGCAGAGGTAAAACCATGCCCTGAATAGGCTCCAGAGACTACACCCTTGGGTAAATCCCACTGAGGGCCAAGAATGTGATAGGAATGTGCTATATCTTAAGCTGAGTTATTTATAAACATTTGGTTTATTGGCCAACTGATTTTCAAGTTATCAGATGTGTACATTCTGAAGCAGTGATTCTTAAAATGATGGCTGGCATAGCACTTTAAAGTTTGTAAAGGATTCTATAGACATTATTTTGCCAGAACTTCCCGATAGCCCAGTGAGGTAAGTACTACAGGTCTTATTGTACTCCCAGTTTTACAGATTAAGAAACTGAGATTCAGAGCCATTAAATGACATATAATTATTCAGTGTCAGATATGGGATTTGAACTCTGCTCTTCCTAATTCCCAAGTTCAACATTCTACTACTCCATGCTGTCCTTGTTTGCTTTTTAATAAAATCCTCTCTCCTCCAAAAAGTATCCATTACTGTGCACATGGTACACTTTATATGGATGTGTGTGTATATGAACATGAACATTTTGGGAAATGATTCCGGTTTTTTTGAAGAATGTAGATAAGTTATTGAGGGAGAAGTGGGAGGATAGAGATGAAAGAATAGCCTCTTTCTTTTAAGATACTAATTCTATTCCACATGTATTAAGTGCCTACTCTGTGCTAGGCTCTGGGCATATGAAGATAAAAACAAAAATGTCTGCCCTCTAGAAGCTTACATTCTATTGGTGGGATGCCAGGTACACAGATAAGTAAGTACAAAATAGATAAAAAGTAATGGATGTAAAGGGTTCCACTCACATGTGGGAGGATCAGCATGGGCCTGGAGTAGAAGGTGCAACTTCGATCTGAGCGGTGAAGAGAGCTAGGCTCTGTGAGAGGCTGAGGTAAAGAGGGAGAGTAGAAAGAGAGACCGGCTCTGTAAGGAATGGTGGTGGAATGCTATAGACAGGAACCATCAATTTGACTGAAATGTAGTGTGTGAGGATGGGCCTGAGAGGGGGACAAATAATGTGAAATCATCCTAGAAGGGCAGGGTAGAGCCAGACTGAAGGATTTTAAATGACAGTGGGGAGCCACAGAATCTTTCTGACCAGGAGAGTGACACAATCAGCCCTGTGCTAAGAAATATCCATTTGGTCTCCCTGACTTCAATATCTTCTTTCTCCAATCTATTTTTCATAAAGTTGCTAATTAGGAGGCTATTATAAGAGTCCAGGGGAGGGCCTAAACTAGAGTGGTGGTTAGGTTATTGGAATTAAGGGGGGATATGAGAGGTGTCAGTTCTACCTTCTCAATAAGCCTTGGCAA